TGGCAGTTGAGGAATGCCTGGCTGGAGAGATGGAGGAAAATGACACTCCATGGTGAAGGACGTAGATACAATCTCCAAACAAAGATACGCGTTCAGCTGAACAGTTTCCATAGTCTGAGGAGCAAATAGAAACCTCCAGGAAGAGGGAATCACAGGTGGGTGGGAGTCCCCTGGCCTGCCCAGGGGAAGGCCGAGGAGCTTGATGAATTCTTTGTCCTGTTCTTCATTCTTTGCTTTGCCGGTTATTAACTGAGCCTGGAGGATAAGCTGGATGTGGCCCCTCATCGATTTTGCTTCTAGACTCATACGAGAGACAAAGAGGCAGACAATTAAGTCCAGGGCACAGAAGGCTATGGCCGTGATATCAGGGGGCATTGTCAACTAATGGAGGAAGACTTTCTGGAGAAAGGCGACTCCAAAGTCAATCCTCAGAAGTGGAGTTAGCTTGATGAGGGTGAAGGGGGTGGGGGAGAAGAAGGGTCTTCCAGGCTAAAGAAATGGCTAATTCCTGCAAGCAAGAGAGGTGGAGAGCATTTGAGGAAGCCTAAGATTTCTGGAATGGAAGATGGGAAGAAGGGACATGGTATCTCCCAGTTCCCTTAAATTGAGTTGTGGAGAAAAGGAGAGGAAAAAAGAAGAAACATGGATTTGTGAAAGACTTCCTTTTCGTTGTTTCAAAGCTTTGCGCTTTTCCTTTGTCCCGGAGTATGCTGTTCTTGGCTCTGCTACTCCTCATGCTCTTGTTTCCAGGCAGAGGAAATGAAGGGACAGAGGCAGCCCAAGTTTGAAGCCTGAGCTTGACATGGATGCTGTGGATACCACAAACAGATGACATTGGCCGGCCAGGCCAAAGGTGACTCCCGTTGCCCTTAAATACCACAACTGCAATCAATTTCAGTTCCAAGGGGCCAAGGGTGGGGGCAGGGATGTCATTCTGTCATTCTGTCTACGTTGACTGCACAGTGGGTATCCACTGATGTAATTAACAGCCTCACCAGGGTCATAATATATGCAACCATGAATGGCATATATTTACTTGGTGTGAGACATTATGGAGTCGGGGCTACGACAAACAAATGTATTGAGCCCTCATTACGTGTTAGGCACTATGTCAAGTGCTGGGGAGAAAAGATGAGAAAAACCTATCTAAAGTAGATCAGGGTCTATCAGCTTGTGTATACACATAGTTGAAAGAGAATCAGATGGGAAATGAGTATTAAAATACAATTTAAGGGGCACCTGGGTGGCTCTGTCGGTTAAGCATCTGCCTTCGGCTCAGGTCATGATCCCAGGGTCCTGGGATCGAGTCCCGCATCAGGCTCCTGGCTCAGTCGAGGTGGGTGGGCGGCTGCTTCTCCCTCTCCTCTGCCTGCCACTCCCCTTGCTTGTGATTGCTCTCTCTCTATCAAATAAATAAAATCTTTGAAAAAAATACAACTTAAAAGTAAATGCTTAATTATCTTGCGAACCTATTAAGATAGATCCATCGGCCCTCTGCCCTTTTGTGCAACTCATTTAAGAACTGAATTGAATAACAGGTGAGTATCTCACAGCCCCTTTACAGATGGGAAACTCACAAAAATAGGATATGATCAGAAAACCATGAATTCAGAGAGCCCTTAGTTTGAACTTGGACTATACTCATTCAACTTGAGTCCTTGAGCAGTTTACTTCCCTTTATGGTCTTCAGTCTCCTCATCTAAAACAGGTAACAGTGGCTGTGTGCGGCAGATAATGTTAGTGGCCTACCCAATGACCGAGTCCTCTTCTTGTTGCTCTTGAGGCTCTCCCAGTTTTGTTTTCAGAAGAGAAGTGCCTAACTTAGGTGATGGCTCATGAGTGGCTTATGGCAGAAATTGGTAAACGTTTCTGCAGAAGGGCAGATAGTAAATAATTAGACTTGGCAGACCCTTGACTCTTTGCCACAACTCTGCTGCTGTTGCATGAAAATAGCCAGAGACGGTACATAAATGAATGTATGCAGCTGTATTGAGACCAAACTTTATTTACAAAAACAGACCGTGGTCCAGATTTGGTTGTTGTTTGCCCATCCGTAGTCTAAGGGCACCTGACAATTCTATTCCGATTTTCTCCAGTTCCTCTGCAACTAAAGGTATCCATGCGATCCAGCTTTGGCCAATGATACCTACGTAGAAGTCTCATAGGTTTCTAGGAAAGTTTCTGCTTTCCTGATAAAATGGAGACTAATGTGGCCAGCCCTGTACTTCCCTCTTAATTCTACCTTGAATATGGAAGTGATATCTGGAGCTAAGGCAGCCATCTTGCAATTAAGAGACAACAAGCATAAGACTGAATGTCAACTTGCTAAGGTTAATGATGCAGAAAAAGGAACTAGTTGTCATCACTAGATGTCATCACTGAGAAGCTGAATCGATGCCAGCATCACCTACTGCACTACTTAGTTTTTTGTCACTGTAGTTAGCTTTTCTGCATTTTGCAGTGAATACTATTTTTAAGTAATTTCAATATATCACAGGCTTACTGTGAATATGAGATGGGATTAATATACAAATCACATAGTAGATGCTCAAAAAAAATGATGGTTCTCTTCACAGTTCATTTCCCAGAGAACTGATATCATTCCCTCTGGGTTCGGTATTGTTAACACTTTGCACAAGGCCCTTTTAAGAATAATCTGGGAATATTTTTTCAGAGCCATCTCTGGTTTCACTCTAATTTTAATTTTCCAAGGCCTCAGAGAGACTAGGAAAGGGAAAGACTAGAAAGAATATCTAGTTTAGCAGGAGCCTGAGCATGAGAAGATCCCAGTTAATTGTTAAACAAATTGGAGAAACAATCTTTCTCTAGGAACTCTTAATGAAAGGGTCCTTCCACATACCCGTCCCCAGCTGCATGCCTGCCTGCCTGCCCCTGACTTCAGATGTGAAGCTAGGAAGCATGTAGTATGCCTGGAGTCATGCGTGGCTCACAGGAGACCCTCCATGATGCTATTCGAAGTTCCCTTCCTCTCTTCGCCAGGCCTGGCACCCTCACAGTCTTAGTTTATTAAACTATCAGGCTCAGTATGCAAGGCAGCCCCATGAAGACAGACACCTGAGCCTGAAGGAGGAGGACAGGTTAGAGAATGATTAGTCCAAGGACTGGGAGCAAGAAGAAACAGGGGTTTGGGGGCACCTGGGTGGCTCAGTCATCAAGTGTCTGCCTTTGGCTCAGGTCATGATCCCAGGGTCCTGGAATCGAGTCCCTTATCAGGCTCCCTGCTCTGCGGGAAGCCTGCTTCTCCCTCTCCCACTCCCCCTGCTTGTGTTCCCTCTCTCACTGTGTCTCTCTCTGTCAAATAAATAAATAAAATCTTTAAAAAAAGAAACGGGTTTAGAAATGTTAAGGGTCAAGCAGTTCAGAAACAAGTTTCTGAGAATCAAGTGTCTGGGATCGCTTTCTCTTAAAATAGTGCTCTGTGTGTATGTGCATGCGTGTGTGTGAGTGTGTGTGCACCTCAGCTGAAAGTACCCATGCAGAGACACAGTATCCCAGCAATGTTTGTGAAAGTACGGGTCAATGGGCGGGTGGATGGATGGATGGCTCCTTAGAGGCAGGACTGGCTATGTGAGTGATGCACAGCAGTGGTCTGGCCTGGCCTGGCTTTCGGAGAACTTTTCAAATTCTTGGTCTCAGCTACTCAATTCTTCTGTTCTAGAGTGGAAGCAGCCACAGACAATATGTAAAGGAACTCCTAGAGATGTGTCCCCATAAAACCTTACTTACAGAATCAGGTGATGGTCTGGATTTGGCCCACGGGTCACAGTTTGCCTGCCCCTGCTCTCTACTTTGTATCTGGGACAGCACCTCCTGGGACTGCAGCAGCCATATTGCTACCCGCCTGAGGAGGGAGCTGGTGGGTGCCAGATAAAGGAACCTGGTCCATTGGCAGAAACCACTAACCCCAGTACACCTGGAACCCGTCCTCACTCTGTTTCCTATCTTGTGAGATAGGGGATTTCCTTTTTATTCTGTCTACTTGAGTGGGTTTTCTCTGGTGGCCAAGAGCATCCTAGCTACCAGATTCCCTAGAGGAAATGCTCCCTCATGTCTGTTTCCCTCACTAGCTCATGGTGGAATAGGAAATGTACTGAGGGCTGAAAGCAGTAGGAGAAAGAAGGAAAAAAGAAATGCCTCCTTACTGAAGACTTGTCTAAACAAAAATCCACTTTAATTTAGGAGATTTTTAAATCCTTTAGGAATTGCTACACTGCCAAACACCCTGAACTATCACTTCTCTGTTAGTAGTGTCTCTGTTAGCAGTGTCCAGAGAGCTTTGGAGATGATTGGGATATGGCTCCTGCCCTTGTTTCATGGGCTAACTTCACTGAGTTGCTCATTTATAGTGTCCTTCATCTGTCTCTTTGTTTCTTATGTATGGATTTTACCTCTACCAATTTAGAGAGATGCTCTTTCATGGTAGGGAACTTCTTGTAGCTCTGACAAAATTGGGCACCTAACAGTATGCAACATATGCATTAACTGCATTTTTGAAGGGGTATTTTCATGAACATATTACAGAAATAAGAACCATTGGTAGTCATTTTAAGCAGCCCCAATCTGATTTAAGCTACCTATTGCAAAAAAAAAAAAAAAATTGTATTGAGTCTATCCGGGAAATGTTTTTTTTTTTTTTTTATGTTCCAAATGTGATGGGTTTATTTTATTTTACTCTGATGCAAAACCAAAGATTCCACTACAGCACAGAGATCAATATATTAAAAAGTCATGAAAAAGTGGTGTGGGACATGCAGGACGTGATGTACAAACTGGAGGATCGGGTCATTTCCTTTGTAACATGACACTACATTGTCGCTGAGGAACACATTTAAAATAACCCTGCAGAACTCAACTGAAATGTGGCACAAATATGACAACTTCCAGGCATGCCTTCAAGTACCTCTCTTAGGATGGACTTGCGATCTCTAGAGTTCAGTGTGGGGAGGATTATAATTCTTTGGAAGAATAAAAGTTCACACTTTTGAAATTTCGCAGAATTTTAAGGCCAAAACATAGTGGGTTCTCTTCACCTCCAGGGACAAATCGAATGCTTTACTCAAAATCACATTAAGCTTCTAGTTCAAATCCCAACCCAACCTTGTGACCTCCTGCTTTGAAGTTCTTTCCGTCGATTAAAGCTGATAGGGTCAGTTTGACACCAGGTTGAAGGGTCTGAGTATAACCCAGTCCAATCAGGCTGGCATTATTTACTTTAGCAGATAGAGAAGTTCTACAATCCAGCTTATATTTAGCAGTGATGCCAAAATGGGTATTATTACTGCCAGCCGTCCAAGCAAGATTTATTGACGTTTCAGTCTTCTCGTTAACCTTCTGGTAGATAGACCCTCCAAATTCAGTGCCATCATTCACATGAGTGTGCAGCTAGAAGTCTGCAGCCTTATAACCCAGGGCGAGATTATTCTGTGACAGTTTGGATTTGGCTGTGTCAAAACTCATCTGATAGCCAGCAAGCCAACCCTCAAAGGCTAACACAGCCTAGCCATAGATGGTTGGTCCAGAAAAATCTATATCAACATTACTGCCAAGACTGAAACAATCCCGTTTATAAGAGGCCTTCAATTTTCCACTCTTCTTTCCTGTGTTCGGTACAAATATGGTATCAAGAGTCAGTTTCAACCCTTCAGCCAACTTATTCTCCAAAGAAATTTCTGTTCCGAGAGTATTGTCTGTGTTCCATTTCTGGGTGAAGGTAAGTCCATAGTTACAGACCTTATATTTGGTCTCTAGGTTGCCTGACGCTTTCCCTGTATCAGTGTAAGCATGACCAGAAGTAGAAAATTCCACTCCAGTACAGGACTTGGTTTTCAGATCTATTTTAACCATGCCAAATCCATATCCTTTATTGAAGACATCCTTGGCGGCCTTTCCTAGGTCACAGTAAGTCGGTGTGTTACACATATCTCCAACCAGAGGGCCTGTCTCCGTTCCGCCAGGGCAACGCTGAAGGTCTTCTTCCTGGGAAATGTTTTGAAATTCAGCTAATTTTGAACTCTTGATTCATTCTTTCTCTCGGGGGGAATATTTTCCGTGCAATGGAACTTGTATAGTATGAACTTGTCCTGCAGGAACAGTCTTCTAGCACGTGGTTGTTCCTATCAGCGTATCACAATAGGCATGGTTTTACTCCTCTTTTCCTGAAATTAACAAGACATTCATTGTAATGTATGAATACCAAAAATTGGCCAGTAACTTTGGGGCAGTTTTCAAACACAGTTGAGTAAAATACAGAAGACTAGTAGGTAAGGAGAAATTAGATTATTATGGGAAACAAGAAAAAAGAAGAGAAAAGAACAGTCTAGTTTAAATGTGCCTTCCTTACAGCCTCTATGCAATGAAATGTGGTAATTTGATCCCCATTGATTTTTTGCACTAGTAAATAGCCCCAAATTGCCTTTTGTATGAATTATGTTAAAAGAAATGTGTAATTTTATCAGAGAGTGCTTAAAGGTGGTCTTAAAAAAAATAGGGATCTTTTTAAAATTGAGATGCCTATAGAGTGTAAGCACCTTTTAAAAAAATTACATATTTATTTTCCTGACTGTGCAAATAATATGCACATACTGTAGAAAGTCCAAAGAAGAAACTAAAATTTATGCATATGCTCAAAATCCAAAGATAACCACTGTCTTCCTCTCTCCACCCCCCCACACAGAAAAAGATCAATCTATTTTAAGGTCTATGGTTAAGATCACATCATTCATCATAAACTTTCTCCTAAATCATTAAGAATTTTTCATTAAGATTTGTAGATGATCTTTCATTTTATTTTTCAGTACATTATATCCTCCCCCTCCATTTTAGTTTAGAAGACATTCATGACATTTAAAAAGAACTTTTAGATAAAAATTATTCACAATCTTATTAGTTTAGTACAACTACTCTTTCTTCCTACATTTTCCCTTTCAGAGCTGAAGCTATTTTGTATTCTATTACATAGTAAATATCTCTGAATTTGACCATGGAACCCCTTCTTTAGAGAATATTTTATGGTAGTGGTTCTCAAAGTGTGTGCCCTGGACCAACAGCAGTGTCATTGGGAATGCTGTTGGAAATGCAAATTGTCAGGCTCCACCCCGGACCTACTGAATCAGAAACTGGGAGGTGGGGGTGGGGGTGGGGGGTGGGGAGGGAAGGGGCAATCTGTATTTTTTTACAAGCTATCCAGGCAATTCTGATGCTCACTAGAGTCTGAGAACCACTGTCCTATGGGATCAACAATCTGCATGCAGAACACCCTTTGGGAAACAATTTGCAAAATTGCATTTCTGACTAGTCTCTATATTTCCTGGAAGGAAGATAAAAATTGCTGGTTGCCCCGGTTCCCTCAAGGGTAGAATAAGGATATTCACTGCCTCCCGGGATAAGGATTGAGCAGGATAATGAGTAAAAGTGTTTTGTAAACTAGGTGGTAAAGTGATATATGATATTAGTTATCGTTATGGTGACCTTGAATTTCAGCTGAAGGATTTATATCACTAAGCTCTGGGGAAAGCCAAGTGGAATGTGGACACAGATGGTCCTTAACTTTCACATATTCAAGTTTTCTACAAGTCGATTTTCACACATTATCTATGCCACCCCTAAAATGCCTTTCCCACACCGAATTGGGAATTTCCTACAATTGCAATTTAACGAGCAATTTGAGGTATCCCATGGCTGCACCACCTGCCAACCCACAGCTCTGCTTTGGCAGGGTCACATCTTTTCCTATTTCAGAGTTTTTGTGCATATCTTATTGCACTCAGCCATTATGATTTACAAAGAAAACAGGAGGAAAACAGTAAGCAACACAGTACTCGGCCATGTTTAGTTTTTCTTCCGTTTCTCTGGCAGTCTTAGGCTATGATTGTTTGGGTTTTTGTTTGATGCATGGGATAACCTCTCAAATAATCTCCTACTGACACAAATTTGTATTTCTTTCAAGTTCTCCTCTGCTCCCAGAGTTATTTCTGCTTCCTCTGGTCGTTTGTTCATCTTGTTCCTTCTTAGTCTTGACGTCTGGTGATCCCCAGATGCCTGGGAATCCCTGGTTGTCTATTCATATTTTTATGATTTGGGGTACTGGCATGGGCTCCCTCTACAGCTGCTGGGACTCGTTTCCCCCCATGGGTTCTCCCCAAAAAGGCAGGGTGGCTGTGATCTTCACTTAAGTGGGTAAGACCTTGACCAAGAGACTCCACTCCAGGGACTTGGACATGGAGAAGACAGGCTGAAGACACCTTACCCTCTCGGCTCTCACCTCCTGCTCTCGTTGCCTGGCACTGTTGGACTTCAGTGAATTTTTCACCTCAGCAAAGATGACTCAGATATTTTATTCCTTCTGAGCCCATTTTGGAATTTTTTATTTATCTCTCTTAGCCCTCTATCCCTCCCCCCACCCCCTACATCACTATCCCTCTCCACACTATTTGAAGGGATATTCTCTTAGGGGTTTTATCTCAGGGTTTAAGGCTTCTGCTGCTACTGGCCATGGTGGTGCTGATGGTGGGGTCAAAGACATGACTGGCTTTGCTACTCTGAATGCTGGTCTATAATTAATTATATTGTCATTAATGATCCCGATAATTAAGTATCTCAGAGCCCCCTACTGCTCTTGACTTGTAGTCATTCTAACTCTGAGCTGGGAGTTTCTTTTAACCGTTTTCTTTCTGCTCTGATCTATTTTTTATAGATTTCTCTAGAACGGTAGTTCTCCAGTTATGGTGCCTGAGCTGACAGCATCAGCAAAACCTGCGAACTTGTTAGAAATGCAAATTGTTTATCCATAAGACCACTGATGAGCATTTGGTGGTTTCTAGATTTTTGACTATTACAAATAAAGCTGCTGTGAATATTATTGTACAGATGTTTCTGTGGACATATTTTTTCATTTCTATTGGGTAAATACCTAGAAGTAGAAATGTAAGACAAATCCAATCTGATACAATCCAAGAATTCTTCATAGCTATGATCTAGTAATGGTACAGTGTTATGGATTTATTCTTTTTATGGTTGCCAGATAAAATGCAGTAAGTCCAAAATACTTCATTTAGGACATATTTCTACTAAAAAATTATTCTTTGTTTACCTGAAATCCATATTTAACTGGGTGTCCTGTATTTTTCAATTTTTTTTTGCTAAATATGCCCACCCTAATTCCTTTTTATTATCATGTATGTTATTTTAAGACCTTTGGAAGGTAGAAGAAACAAGATTTACTTGTATGATCATTCCACCATCTTAATCCAAGATAGAAACTTGGCAGAAAACTGATAGCTTCATAATCCATTTATTAGTCTGTTCATTCCAATGCAAAATATGCTGCCCAAACCAGTGAAAATTTACCATCAGAAAGTCCTCCTTCCTAACACGAAATCAATATCTTATGTCTGCAAAATGTCATTTCAAGTAGGCTAGGAGCAGAATTTTGAAGTAAAAAATTACATTAGATAAGAAATTCTATGGCCTGTCACAATTCCAGACTTCAAGCTCTATTACAAAGCTGTAATCATTAAGACAGTATGGTACTGGCACAAAAACAGACACATAGATCAGTGGAACAGAATAGAGAGCCCAGAAATGGACCCTCAACTCTATGGTCAACTCATCTTGGACAAAGCAGGAAAGAATGTCCAATGGAAAAAGACAGTCTCTTCAACAAATGGTGTTCGGAAAATTGGACAGCTACATGCAAAAGAATGAAACTGGACCATTTCCTTACACCACACACAAAAATAGACTCAAAATGGATGAAAGACCTAAATGTGAGACAGGAATCCATCAAAATCCTTGAGGAGAACACAGGCAGCAACCTCTTCTACCTCAGCCGCAGCAACTTCTTCCTAGACACATTGCCAAAGGCAAGGGAAGCAAGGGCAAAAATGAGCTCTTGGGACTTCACCAAGATAAAAAGCTTTTGTACAGCAAAGGAAACAGTCAACAAAACCAAAGACAACCAACAGAATGGGAGAAGATATTTGCAAATGACGTATCAGATAAAGGGCTAGTATCAAAAATCTATAGAGAACTTATCAAACTCAACACCCAAAGAACAAATAATCCAATCAAGAAATGGGCAGAAGACATGAACAGACATTTCTGCCAAGAAGACATCCAAATGGCCAACAGACACATGAAAAAGTGTTCAACATCTCTCGGCATCAGGGAAATCCAAATCAAAACCTCAATGAGATACAACCTCACACCAGTCAGAATGGCTAAAATTAACAAGTCAGGAAATGGCAGATGTTGGCGAGGATGTGGAGAAAGGGGAACCCTCCTACACTACTGGTGGGAATGGAAGCTGGTGCAGCCACTCTGGAAAACAGTATGGAGGTTCCTCAAAAAGTTGAAAATAGAGATACCCTACAACCCAATAATTGCACTACTGGGTATTTACTCCAAAGATACAAATGTATTGATCCAAAGGGGTACATGCAGCCCAATGTTTATAGCAGCAATGTCCACAATAGCTAAACTATGGAAAGAGCCAAGACGTCCATCAACAGATTAATGGATAAAGAAGATGTGGTATATACATACAATGGAATATTATGAAGTCATCAAAAAATTGAAATCTTGCCATTTGCAACGTCAACAGATGAATGGATAAAGAAGATGTGGTATATATATACAATGGAATATTATGCAGCCATCAAAAATCAAAATCTTGCCATTTGCAATGACGTGGATGGAACTAGAGGGTATTTATTATGCTAAGCAAAATAAGTCAATCAGAGAAAGACAGGTATCATATGATCTCACTGATATGAGGAATTTGAGAAACAAGACAGAGGACCATAGGGGAAGGGAGGAAAAAATGAAACAAGATGAAACCAGAGAGGGAGAGAAACCATAAGAGACTCTTAATCTCAGGAAACAAACTGAGGGTTGCTGGAGTGGTGAGGGGTGGGAGGGATGGGGTGGCTGGGTGATGGACACTGGGTTGTATGTGCTATGGTGAGCGCTGTGAATTGTGTAAGACTGTTGAATCACAGACCTGTACCTCTGAAACAAATAATACATTATATGTTTTAAAAAAAGAAGAAGATAGTAGGAAGGGAAAAATAAAGTGGGGGAATCAGAGGGGGAGATGAACCATGAGAGACTATGGACTCTGAGAAACAAACTGAGGGTTTTTAGGGGGGGATGGGTC